TTGGATTCATTCTCCCCATCATATTCAGGTACACGGATAAAGAGTAGATTAGGTCTTTTCACATAACCTCATATTTCCTGGAGTCTTTGTTCATTTCTTTTTACTCTTTTTTCTCTTGTCTTGCCTCCTCTTTTTATTTCATTGAATTGATGTTCAATCTCTGATATCCTTTCTTCTGCTTTATCAATTCGGCTATTAAAACTTGTGTTTGCTTCACGTAGTTCCCATGCTGTGTTTTTCAACTCCAACAAGTTGTTTATGTTCTTCTCTCAGCTGGTTATTCTAGTTAGCATTTCATCTAACCTTTTTTCATGGTTTCTGGTTTCTTTGAATTGAGTTAGAATGTGTTCCTTTAGCTCAGAAAAGTTTGTTATTATCCACCTTCTGAAGCCTGTTTCTGTCAGTTCGTTGCATTCTTTCTCGGTCATATGTTCCCGTGTTGTTGAGGAGTTGTGATCCCTTGAAGGAGAATAGATGTTCTGGTCTTTGATGGTTTCATCTTTTTTGCACTGTTTTTTTTCCCATCTGCGTGGATTTTCCTGGCTTTGGTCTCAGGTAGCTGCTTGATGAGGTCACTTGTCTGCTTGTCGGGATGCTACTTGGTTTCTGTGGACTCCTTCAGGTTGCTAGGTAAGCTTCCTGTGTCTTTTTTGTTTACACTGGGAGTTTGGGCCTGCCTCTTCTGCTGACCTGGAGGTACTGCTGGGTGGTCAAGAATGCAGTCCCGTTGCCACCTAGGCTTCCTGTGTTTTTTGTTAAAACCTGAGGCCTAGTCCCACCCCTTTAATGGTGGGCTATGTCCTTCCTCCGCAGGGCTGGATCATTCAGGGTTCAGCTCGGACTGTGGCACTGGTTGCGCAACCCACTAGAGTTAGTGCTTCGACCCTCTGGGGTTTGTGGGGGAGGGTAGGGACCTGCCCAGCCACACTGCCTGTCTCCCAGTTTTCAGCTCCCTCTCTCCAGTCATGGGGGAGGGGCCCACCCAGCTGCTCAGTCTGTCCTCCATCCATCAGCTCCCTGTTTCTCTGGGCAGGGGGAGGGAGCGATAGCTCAGTCCACAGGCTCTCCCGGCTGGCTTATGGGCTTATGCATTTGCTTAGATCTGTGCACCAATCCGGGACACCGTCCTGGATTATTATTCAACTCTGTGCTTGCAATTCTTGGCACTCGACTGGCAAAGATCCCCTGTTCTGTGTATTGCTGAGGGTTTGGGGGAGGCGCTGTATCTGGACCAGAGTGTCAGAGGGGAGCCTCCGACTCACTGGTCAGATGCGCTTTCTGGGTGAAGCGGCAACCCTCCCTGCCTCTGTCTGCCCTACCTGGGCTTTGCTCACTGTTGGGCCAGACCCATTGAAATGCACCTGGCACCTCGGTTGGAGCTAGGAGATGTCTGGATTTCTTCATCTCTCTCGCTGGGTGTTGTGCACCAGAGTTGTGTCTATTTGGCCATCTTGACTCCCTCCCTCCTTATCACCATTATTTAGATTGTGCGATAATCCACACAATGGTCAGGGTTAGTAATATTTTTTTCAGTTAGAGCAAGATCAAGATCATCTCTATAAGACCATAATTCTCACATTCAGATACACATTCTTCAGTGAGAAATAGAGTAATAGATGTATAGTTTGCTTCATAGTAATTGCATTTGCTAATGGGTACATTGAATACAGACTGCTAACTTGGACAACCTAGTCATACTTCTAAGGAACTTCCCTACGTCCCCCTAGTTCCTTTCTCTACCCCCAACTCCTCTCTTTCAGCCTTCAGATACTATCTGATTTCCTTTCCCAAAATATGTATCTGAGTATGTCACTTTCTACTGAAAAACCTTCACTGATTATTTACTGTCTCTGTAATAAAGTCTCCACTCCAGTCCAGACCCTCTTGAAATGGTTCTCCCTTACTCATGTACATTCATTACCTTTTATGCCTCTGATATTCCTCATACAAATATAGATTCCCATGCATACTTTTCACTGCTCATTCTCCGTCTGAGTTGGCCTCCTAGTCAGCAGGAGGAATAATTCTGCCAAATCCTTTAAGGCCCAAATTTTTACTTCTTTTATGGATCCACTGTAGTTGGAATAAATCTCAACTGAGATGGGGCTAATCATTTGGTCCTCTGTATTTCTGTAGGTCTTTATTGGTGGCTCACATACAGCACATTTAGGCTGCCTTGTGGTTTGGTTTGTTGCATGTTCATAAGTCTCTAGAGGGACAGGCATTAGATGTAAGCCATTTCGTATCCCTTATGGTATCTAGCATAATGTTCCAGAAATACAGAAGATACTCAGTGGATATGAGTTGAAATGTTTAAAAAGCTAGAAATCAGAGTATTTGCTTCTGACTTGGTTTATGATCTGTTTGGTTTAGATTTCTCCATGTAATGTGGCAAAATTGATTTCCTCTTTTTTTCTTAAGGAAGTACTTTGAGTTCATTTGTTTTGAGATGATAACAAAGCTTTAGTAAATTCCCTATGTGTAAAGAATTTAGAATTTATATGCCTTCCATGGATCTTTTGAAACCTTTGAACTTTTTTTTTTTTTCTAATTTGAAATATTGAGATCTGGGAAGGGTGTTAAAGCTATTTCCTAATGTGGTATTGAGGTTGCACAGGAGTTGGAAGAATGACCATGTATTGTGTGAGCCTAGCAGTTTCCTTTGAAGCCAAACAATTTACCCTTAAGGAACAATCACCACCTCATGCTATTTTATTAATATATCCATACTTTTTACTTATATTAATTAAAATGGGTTGATAGCAAAGGCCATCATGGGAGATGTAGTATATTGAATTGTGCACACAATAAGGTTTTAAACAAGTGGCTCCATATATGTTATATTTTTGTGTCTTTCAGCCTAACTTTAATTTATTACTTTTTTGAGTCTAAAAAGCTCTGATAAGTCATCCATATTTTTTCTCTGTACAAATTAGTTCTATTTTTTTGCTCCGTGTAGAATCACCCCTCTCATACCTGTTTTTAAATTTAAATTTAAACTGTTTTAATGACATGGTCTGCTATTAATATTTTCTGGATATTGATCTATCACCTCATTATAACTTCAACAAAATCATTTTATAGAGTCTTTTTTTAGAATGAAAAGATGCCAGATTGGAGTTCTGTATTTTTAGCGTTTGCTGACCATATGATCTTGGTCAAGTTATTTCACTTTTTTTGTGCTTCACTGTTAACATAGGAATAGTAATGTCCTTCTGTATCACTGGGTTGTTGTGCACAAAACATCACTTTGTAAATTCTAAAATGAAATATAAATGTAATAAAAACCACAATAATAAGTTGTTAGTTAAGCTTCAGTATTGGTGTGCTGATAAATATCTGAAAACAAGCTTCCTGTGGGTGGAAAACACTTGGTTTATAGCATTTGCCAAGTTTGGTGGTTCTGAATATCCCTTTCTTGGCTGATTTCAAGCTACAAATGAGACGTCTTTGGAGAGGGATGAACCTGGGAAGAGAAGAGCACAGCTGGCTTTTGACAGTGCCTGTGAGCACACTACTGACTTTAGGGGGAAATTATTCGTATTTCCCTATGCTTTTGATAGAACATAAAGAAAAGTAAAAGCATTCTACTGAAACTTAAAATCATAATTGAACAATTTTCCTGATGAGAGACTTTATTTTGTAAATTTATTTTGGGCTGTGAATATAGGATTGCTCATTAAAAAATCAATTTCTTTGTTAATTTAATGTGGCATCAGGTCTTAGGTAAATTTTGTGGGGTTAATAAAATACAGATTTTGTCTAAAACTCCCAAAACTTCTTTCTTTCAGGAAATTGTTTCCATTGATTATGTTCCTACATACCTAATTAAACTCATATAATAAACTTATAAAAATAAACATATATTTTAGGCCTTATAACATATATTTTAAACAGATTAAATGTGGTTGTTTACAGACTGTTAGCAACTGGTAGGTGTGTTTTGTTAGCATTTCTAGTTGCACCAAGTTGGCTTTTAAAACGCGAAGATATTGTCCCTTTTGGGAGGCAGTGTGGCGTAGTTGAAAGCATGGACATTAGAAAGAATTCCTGGGTTCAAATCCTGACTCTCCATTTACTCACTGTATATCTTTGGGCAAGTGATTAGCTTTATTTTCTTTCTTCTTATTATGGCAATAAGGGCAATAGTAATACCTTATTTCATTCTCAAAGGTTGTTGTGAGGATGAGGAACAAGTATATACCAAAAGGTCTTGGAGCAGTGTCAGGCACATGGTGTTTACGTTATTGTTATTTTAAAATTCTTTAAGTTCACATACCTGACAAATCTTTACTGAATTCTCTATATAGAATAGATTATTCTCAAAGTTTATTTTTTAAAGCTGATTCTGGTTATACCCTAAAGACCAATAAATATGTATTTTACTACACTACTGATATTGAAAAAAGTCACTGGTAAACTTTTTCATATTACATTTGTAGTTTCTTGGTTGTTACACTTCATAATACTTTTTAGCCCCATAAGAGTAGTATTGATAATGACTTATATATAAAAAGTACACAGTTATTTCATAGAAACCAGGAATGAAGTCGAACAGGAATGTTAAGCCCCATTTATAGACCAGGGAACTTACCAGTTAGTACCATCTCCTAGTATTTCCCTTTTGGGACACTTCTCTAATAACTCCTTCCCCTCTTATCAGAGCTGCTCTCTTTTCTTTGGATTTCCAAAATATCCAGCTTTCACCTTTGATAAGCACTTCTCATTCAATGTTGTCAACTAGATTGTTGCTTCTGACTCTCTTACTGTTTATATTTGATATATTTAGCAACTAGTCCAGTATCTATCACTTCGTAAATGCTTGGTAAATACTGATGAGCGATTGAATAAATGCAAAGAACATTTCCTGTTTGTTTAATGTTTATATATGAATTCTTTGAAAGAGCTAAAATCTTGATGTTTTTTAAAATGTGTAATTTCTTTGGTGTATTGTGGCTATGGCTAGTGGACTTTCTCTTTTTTCCTTCTCTTTTTCTCAG